GTGTTTTATTGCAGTGCTGTAGCTAAGATTTTGTGTGACCTGACACGTCCTGTTTCAGTGATTTGAAGAAACAAGAAATACAGTGGGGGGGGGGGGGGTCACTGCAGCCCCCTGTAGATCCGCCCCTGTCCATGTCCTGTTTGTTTCAGTGATTTGAGCCCTTACGGATGTGGTGGCAATTGCATTTTTATGGTTGCAGTTTAGCAATTGAAAAGTTTCTTGGGACAGTTGGGAGGGGCTAGATGTACAGTAGGGTGAGAAGCTGCCCTGTCTTGCCCTCCTGTAGACCCACCCCTGAATTCAGATATTAGCTTAATGTTGTTAAAATCCTGTCTAGCTCTGATGTAAAGGAACCCAAGATTTTAGCTTGCACTACAATAACAGGGAGACTATTCCATACTCTAACTACACACTGTGTAAAGAAGTGCTTTCTGAAATCCAGTTTAAAATATTCTACTAATTTTCACATATGGTCATGGGTTCTTGTGTTTGAACTAATACTGAAATAGCCATTTGGCTGAACAGCATCCAGACCTGTTAGAATCTTATATACCTGGATCATGTCCCTCCTTAGTCTCCTTTGCTTGAGGTTAAACGGATTCAGCTTAGCTAACCTCTCCTCATAAGACAATCCTCAAAGACCAGGAATCATTCTCGTAGCCAAGATCTGTGCTTTTCACAGATGAGAGCAGGTTCACTCTGAGCACATGGAGTCTGGAGAAGTTGTGGAGAACGTTATGCTGATTGTAACATTGTACAGCATGACTGGTTTGATGGTGAGTCAGTGATGGTTTGGGGAGGCATATCCATGGATGAATGCACAGACCTCTACAGGCTAGACAACAGCAACTTCACTGCCATTAGGTATCGGGATGAAATCCTTGGACCCACTGTCAGACCTTACGCTGGAGCAGTGGGTCCTGGGTTCCTCCTGGGGCACAACAATGCCCGGCCTCATGTGGCAAGAGTATGCAGGCAGTTCCTGGAGGATGAAGGAATTGATATTATTGACTCCCCTATGCCCCTATGCTCACCTGACCTAAATCTAATAGAACACCTCTGGGACATTATGTTTTGATCCATCCAACGAGTCCTGATTGTACCTCAGACTGTCCAGGAGCTCAGTGATGCCCTGGTCCAGATCTGCGAGGAGATCCCCCAGGACACCATCTGTCATCTCATTAGGAGCATGTCCCGATGTTGTCAGGCATGCAAACAAGCACATGGGGGTCATATAAACCAGTGGTACTCAAAATAGGGGTTGTGACCCTCTGGGGGGTCGTGAGACATTGGTCGCGAGATGATTTCTGACCTCAAATCAAATAATTTTTTTTAAACTATTAGAAATAACATTTTATCAACATTTAACATTTTATATTAACATTTTATCCATAACTAACAAAAGATAAAAACTAGTAGTTAACAGTTACATTTAAAAAAATATGCAAATTAAAAAGCCATCAGCCTTTCAAATATCTTTCCGTTTGATCGCGACCCCTAAGGTGATTATGACAGATTAGCGACACATCAATAGCGTCAGTTGCAGCAGAATTTACAGCACCATGTTAAACTTTCCGACATGTGCACATAACATGTAGGTAATTTTCATTGCTTTATGCTTAGGATATTATTTTTGTTGAAATGAAACGAATGAGTAAATAACAATTAAAAAAAAAGTTATATGGTTGTTAGAGCATTGTGTTCTTTTGTGTTGTCATGCTCTTGTTTGGATAGGATATTTTGTTGAAATTAAACAAATTAGTAAATTACTATTAAAAAATTATCTGGTTGTTAGACCATTGTGTTCTTTTGTGTTGTCATGCTCATGTTTGGATAGGCCTATTGGCGCATGTGCACCGTTGCGCGCAACATTTGTATATTTTAACCACTTCCGAGGATAGTGGGGGACACGAGTCACTGGCACGGTTATTTTGGGGGTCGTGAGCTGAAAAGTTTGGGAACCCCTGATATAAACTACTGAGTACAATTTTGAGTTGCTGCAATGAAATTTCAGCAAAATGGTCTGCCGCATCATTTTTTCACTTTGATTTTCAGGGCGTCTTTGAATTCAGCCCTCTGAAGGTTGATCATCTTCATTTCTGTCAAACAATGTGGCATCCTTTCATTCCTAACACATTACCAAGTCCATATCAGTATAGATATCCAGCATGATTTTTTTCCCATTGAGATCTGATGTGTTTTCAAATTGTTCCTTTAATTTTTTGAGCAGCGTATATATGTTATAGCTTGCTAGGTAAATCATAATGGTGTGTATTGCTGAATTTGTTTACAGGTGGCTATTACTAATCAAGGGCAATGGGATGAGTTGCTGGCAACAAAGGGATTAATAGGTAAGATGCCATTGCATACATTTATTTGCAAGTAACACTGTGTTGCATTAGGATATACAAGTTTGTTTATTTATTCATTGGTGCATTATATGGTGTATTATGAATTTCCCTCCAGGACTGCAGTGAGACTTTGAAAAGCAGCTGGTAGCAGAGAAGTTAAATTAATCTGTTATGTGGGTTGGGGGGTGGATGGAGGTTACAGCCCTGCCCTGGTTTCTGGGAGACCATGTCGATGTGTCTTTCTGCCGCCCCCTGCAGTGGTGGATGTGTATCAACGGTGGTGTGGACCCTGCCGTGCTGTCTTCAGTCTGTTCCGTAAAATTAAGAATGAACTGGGGGACAACTTGCTGCATTTTGCCACGGTGAGGTCTGAGTGGTGACCACTCAGATGAGAGTGCTATGGGCCCTGGGCAATCAGTAGCCTATACAGTCTAAAGTTTTAGCATCTCAGTATAGACAATAGGACTGAGTCTGTTAGCAAAGGTCCTGCACCCAGTGCTTCACTGAGGAACACTTCATATGTGATGATGTTTCATCATTTTGATGAAATATAACGAGATTCCAGATTGTAGCGTCCCTCAGCACTAAGTTTGTCATGAGGTGCTTGTGCACAGTGTGTTTTCACCCATGCCCTTTGACCTGTTGCTTGTATCAATCATGTAATTAATTGTGTAAATATGACTTCAGTTACTTGACTGATTGATTTTGAGAACTACTTTGTAAAATAGCAGCCACTGTTTGAATTCTCTAGGCAGAGGCAGACAGCGTGGACTCCCTGCAGAGATACAGGGGGAAATGTGAGCCCACCTTCATGTTCTATGGAGTGAGTGTCACCTGATTGGATATCTGTGTTCTCTTCATATTGTCTCCTGTTTGGTATGTTTAGCGAGTAAACAGACAGTAAATGAATGTGTGATTCGGCTAGTCATAGATGTATGACAGAGCTCTGATGTTTGACATTCTTGAGAAATGGTGGCCGGCAGTATTTTGGGATCTGTTTGCTGTGAGATGGGGACTCATTGATGCTGTGGGGGTGCCATCAGGGGGGGAGTCTGGTTGCTGTGCTGCATGGGGCTAATGCCCCCCTCCTGCAGAAGATGGTGCTGGAGCAGCTGGAGCAGGAGAAGAGAGTGATGGAGCAGGGTGCAGAGAGAAAGGTGGTGAGACACAGACACTTAAAAGATAGATTCAAACACACATTCATGTATCATGACAAAATCAGCTTGCTGGAACCACATGGTCCATGACTGTCCATTACAGTCCATTATATTTTATCACGGTGCATCACAGTGGATCTCTGATTTACCAGGTGGAAGAGGAGCTGGTGGAGAAAGACCTGGGCATCACACATAATGAGAAAGGTAGTGGATGTTAACCTGGGACACTTTCTTGGACATGATTACTTCATGCATTTCTGTTTGTAAATTATATGTGATTTATTACAATACTGAAGCAACAACTCTTTTGTGTCAAGTTCCTGTCCGTAAATCGTATACAATAGCAGTGATAAAACCAGATGTCGTCACACATGGCAAAGCCAACGAAATTATCATGAAGGTAATAATTACAGTAACGCCATGAACAGCATGTGATTCACCGAGCACACAGAACAAGGTTGCTAATGGCATGTTGGTGATCAGGTTCAGGAGGCTGGCTTTGAGATCACAGGCCAGGAGGTGCGAATGCTCACCAGGGCTGAGGCAGAAGACTTTTACCAGCATATGGCTGCAGAGGTAAAGACATAGAGATGGGGGAGGGAGAGGAAGAAAGAGAAAGTGAGAGAGAAGGAGGAGTAGGGAGACAGAAAGAGGGAGGAACCTGATGCTATTGTGTGTTGATTGACAGCCTTATTTCAGAGAGCTGGTGCAGATCATGTGTAATGGCTCCTCTCATATCCTGCTGATATCCCAGTCGGGTGATGTCATCCAGACTTGGAGGAAGTTCATTGACACAGCAACCATGGAGGGGGCCAAAGGGGAGGTGACAGACAGGTACATGGAGTAAACACACCTTGGAGCAAAGGTGGAATGAGGCAACCTTTATACAAGGTGGAATTTGAAGAAAGTAGAGTGAGTTTTGGCATTCCAGTGGGACATCAGGAACAGCAGGAAACACAGCAGTTAAGGCACTGTTTACCTTTCTCTCTCCCCCCAGCTTGAAGGGGCAGTGTGGTGCCGGCATGTTGTCCAATGCATTGCATGGCTGCAGTGACAGATCTCAGGCCAACAGGGCACTGGCCTTGTTCTTCCCCAGCTTCAGACATGCATTTGCACACTTGCAGGATGGAGCAGAGGAAAGCACTGTGGAGAGGACCCTGGCGCTGATTCCTCCAGCAATAAGCAGAGGTCCTCAAATAGTGCTGTGTGTGAAACTGTATCAGCCACATACAACTTGCAGTACTAAACATTTGGATCAGTGGTAATTAAAATTTACAGGAATGTTCCATTGTTCTCTGTAAATTTTATACAACTTGCTGAACCGGTGATGCCACAGAGGACATCATCCTTCGTATCCAAGCTACCGGACTTAGCATAGCCATGAAGAGGGAGCTACTGTTAACAGAGGAGCAAATCAGGCAGTTTTACTGGCAGCATCTGCAAGAGGATCACTTCCCAACTCTTCTGAAGAGCATGAGCAGGTGAGTCTGGAATTCAGACTCTGAATAATAGTGCAGGTCCCTCAGCCCCACCATCATTTTGAATACATAAACATGAGCTGTGGAGCAGAAACATGTAGAAGTGTGTATTTGCATGTTTCAGTGGGCCCATCCTTGCCCTTGTCCTCTCTGGGCTTGGCGCTGTGAAGAAGTGGAGGAGTATGCTGGAACTGCAGGATGTTGATTGGGCCCAGCAAGAATCTTCAGACAGGTGTGTGCTTTCAGAGAGGCCTGCTGCAGTCTCAGGGGGCCCCGACTGACAGATGCCTTCACTGTGCGGTTCTGTTGCAGTCTAGCAGCTGAGTTAGTGGCACATGGTGAGCCCAACAACCTGCTGTACGGCAGTCACACCCCCAACCAGGCTGAGCAGGAGATTCAGGTTGTCTTCCCACCAGAGCAGACACTGGCACTCATAAAACCAGATACCGTTGAGGAACATAAAGGTATTGACCTGTGGACTTACACCTTGGAAAATGTCAATATGAACTAGCAGTGACAGCCAGGATGAATTTGCAATGTGAGGCTGTGTGGTTAGGTGCAGCTGGCAGGTCTCTCTATCACTATGATGCTTGGTGAGTGTATTCTCCCCTCTGCTTAGATGAAATTCTCAAGGCAATCCAGGATGCTGGATTCTCCATCCTTCATATGATGGCGGTCTGCCTGTCTCAGGCTGACATTGAGAAGCTGTACAGGAAGCTACAGGACAAACCCTTTTTCAACCAGCTGGTGGATTTCATGTGTAGGTAAGACACAGTTGTATCAGACCATGCCTACTGACACCAGTTCAAACACAGCCAGACTTTCAGAGAAGCAAAGCTGTCTCCTTTAATCAGCACCAGCTCTTCTATAGGGAGACCTGTAGCTTGCAACATGACAAATAATCACTAGGAATCCAAAGTGAATCAGAGAAAATATGGCGCAGAGCAGCCATATTGATTGCAGTCCATACATATGCAGCACAATAACTCCTGGCTTTCATTTCTTTCCTGCATGTCTGCCTCCCAGTGGGCCCTGCATGGCACTTATCCTTAGCAAATTCAGAGCTGTGCATGAGTGGAGAGCAATGATGGGCCCAACTGACCCGTGCCAGGCCCGCGAGACTGCCGCAGAATCCTTGCGGGTCCATTTTGGCAAGGACATTCTACATAATGCTGTGCATGGTTCCTCCAGCTCAGAACGCGCCAATGAGGAGATCCATCTTGTGTTTGGAGATGTCTGCAGGGAAGAGAATCAAGCGTCCCTGCTGCATGGTAATATGGGCTCATAACAAGCATTTCACTATGTGCCCAGTTCACTACATGAGGACAATCTAATACCAGTGCTGTCCTTACCCATTTGGATGTTAGGCAAAGAAGACAGTCAACTACCTTTAGAGGGGGGGAAGGCTAATGGTAAGAACCAGCTGTTTCATGCTGAGAAATAATGTAAAATATAGAAGGATCAGTGTTGAAAGGTACTGGGATATTCTCTAATGGCTTAGAACTAGCGAATGAAGATCTAGAGCTCATAGATCTGCCTTTGCTTCCAGTGAAGGATGGATGCAGCACCCATCCACGACTACTGTGATGCTAGAGGGAGAGGCAGGGGAAGGGGTCCCATAGTTCAGCACAGCCACCACCTCAACACCAGAGGATATACATCCTGAGCAGGAGAAAACACATACATGGTGATGAATGTACTGCACCATCAGATACACAGGAAAAAACACCCTACACAAAGGAAATTTACATTATATCCTTATACAGTCATGTGAAAAAATTAGGACATCCCATTAAATATGTAATTCTTCATTAAGAAATATCAAAATATCAGTATTAAATATTCTTTCAAATTATATCTTTAGATAGAGCTGATGTTATTGCATCAGCTATGCAAAAACTAGAAACATATTCACTTATTTAAGAAAGGAAATTAACTAAGATGCCAATTCCTACTGAGGAAAAAGTTAGGACACCCTGTGCCCTAATAACCAGTATTTCCCCCTTTAGCTGAAATAACCTAAATGAGACATTTCCTATAACCATCTATCAATCTCTGACATCGACTGGCAGAAAGTTTTCCCCAATCTCCAATGCAGAATTCCTTATGCTGTGTGATGTTTGAAGGGTGTCTTGCATGCACTTCTGCTTCAAATCACCACACAGCATCTCAGTAGGATTCAGATCCGGGCTTTGACTTGACCATTCCAGAACTCTCCATTTATTCTTGTAAGCCATTCCTTGGTAGATTTACTGGAAAGTTTTGGGTCATTCTCATTGGCATGGTCCACCCTCACTTCAGCTTCAACATCTGGACAGATGTTTTCACATTGTCCTCAAGCACCCTATGATGAATAATTCATAGTGGATTCTATGATGGTGAGCTGGCCAGGTTCTGCTGCAGCAAAGCAGCCCCAAACCATGACATTTCCACCCCCATGCTTCACAGTTGGTATGAGGTTCTTTTGCTCAAAAGTTGTCTTTGGTTTACAGCAAACATGTCCTCTGTTACTGTGCCCAAATAATTCAATTTCAGATTCATCTGTCCAAAGCATGTTGTTCCAAAAGTCCCAGTCTTTGTCTAGGTGCCTCTGGAAAATTTCAGTGTTGACCCGAAGTTTTTTTTAACAGCAAGGGTTTCCTCCTTAAACACAGCTCCCATGAAAATCAAACTTGTGCAGTCTCTTTCTAGAGGTAGATGTATGTACCTTGACATCAACTGTGGCAATAGCTTCCTGTATGACCCATGATCACATTTTAGGATTTTTGGAGACTTCTTTCAGCAGAAGTCTGAAAGAAGGTCAGTTCTTTGCCTGAACTTGCTTGGACAGCCTGCCCTGGTCATGCTGGCAGTTGTTTTAAATGTTCTCCACTTATAAATTATTTTCTGGACAGTGGAATGGCTGATTCCATACTCTCTTGAGATCTTTTTATATTCTTCCCAGACTCATACTGTATGCATCTACAAGCTTCTTTCCGAAGGCCTCAGCAAGCTCTTTGGATCTCACCATGGTGATAGCACTCATTTCAACAATCAAGAGCAAACCAAACTAAATGCCTGTGGTTTAAATAAGACAGGCTCCACCAAAAAGCTCTGTAATGATGTTCTGATCATTTTCACCTAATATGGTGCCACCTGAATCTAATTCTAGGAATTTTAAATTGTGATGAATGTGAGGGTGTCCTAACTTTTTCCTCAGTGGAAAGTAGGATCTTAGTTAATTTCTTTCTTGTTATTGCATAGATTATGCAATTACATCACTGTCATCTACAGATATAAATTGAAAGAAGATTTAATACTGATATGTTGCTATTTCTTAATAAAGAATTAAATATTTAATGGGATGTCCTAATTTTTTCACATGACTATATTCTGGAGTTAATCCTGGAGGAGATGCCAGCTCATCACCAGACACACTCACATGTTGACACCAGTTCACCTAACTGCAAGGATTTGGATTTTGGGGAAGCAAGTATCTGCAGAAAAGAATTAAACGGAAAGGGAATGTGCACATCCAAACAGATCTAAACACTGAAGACTATGCAACTGATATTTTGAATTCTTGAAAACCTGCTTGCTAAATCAAATCAGTTTTCTGCTGGTTGGAAAATATGAAATAATTTTACTGTATTATACATAGAAGCTTCGGCCACTGCCGAGGGAGAGGGAAGTCTTGGTTTCCCTGCTGAGATTGCTGCCCCCGCGACCCGACCTTGGATAAGCGGAAGTAAATGGATGGATGGATATACATAGAAGCTAAATACGAACTAAATTAGCAAAGGTGCGGCCTTATTTTTTGACCAATATCTGTTTTTGTAATTAAATATAATCTCCTATAATCCTTTCAGTTATTATTTTCATTTATTTCATAGTCTTCTTTAGCTCTGGTTTTTGGTCAACTTGATCCAAAACCTGCATTTATGCTTTTGGATTGTCTCAGAGCTATGACATGTTAGTACATTGTTTGGACTGGCTGCTCAATACACTAACATAACACCAAATAAAATTCACAGACAAGGTCATGGTGATTATAACAGTACAGATAAGAAAGACAAACGAAAATGCTGCAATGTTCCATGTCATGGAAGTCTTCATCCAACGAGTTACAGAAGAGCCTCTGACAAATGTTGGATACGTTAGAAGATACAGCCTCTATCACCTGTACAAAGGCAAATTAATGGTTACCTGTAAATCAGTCTAAAAATTAAATTCTTAGTCTAAATTCTAAATCAGTCAAAATCATTTCACAGGTGCATGATTAAGATGTTCTTGTTACAGTTTTGAGAATTCAGGCTTAAAGTACCAAACAACCTGGATGTTGCAGCTTTTAGTGCTAATTCCCCATTTCATGTTGCAAGTCAGCAAATTAGCTGCCATTTAATATTTATTACCAATGACAAAACTAGTTTAAACTAACATTTAACATGTAGTTAGAAAGCTAGATTTTTTTTTCAGTTTAGAAATCAATGATCAACAAGAAATAAATTAGTAATTATGGTTTGAACAAATTTGTCTGTAGCGTTATAGTCCATTGATTTAACAAAGCTTTACATTGGTAAGTACTTTTAAAACTAGTGTTAAGAAGTGTATGGCTGCACTTGGTATGCTCAACTCACCGTGGTAACACAGAATTCACATCTAGCGGCTCACAAACGTGAAGCGCTTCAGATGCTTCAGACGCTGTGAAATCTAAAGAGTAAAACTGAAACGCATCAATACTGAGATATTTTGCCTGAATACCGAAATTTGTTTTAGATTCACACATCTCTCAGTAATCATATGACACGTGTTAGCCCTACCTTCATGCATGATTCACCGATATGCAACATATAAAGCATTTACAATGAATGAAATGTCAGGTTCATTCACTATTAAAACTAGTAAAAAAAATTAGTCCTAACGTTTTCTGAATAAAAATCCACGATACAGTTACACTACCTAGTAGTTTAAATTTTACTTTTAATGTACAACCACAGAGGAAAAATTCTGGGTGAAGAAAACACATATTCCAGTAAATAAAATAGCTTTATTACATATCTCAAAATAAAATATTGGTTGAAATATACTTTTTTTTATATATAAAAACCCATTTTCAGAAGAAATGTTCAATGCATGGTTTTTTGCATTGGCTTTCTGCCATATTTCCTGACATATCAGAAATTCTTTCTGGGTCACAGTCTTCCCATGCACTGGCTACTGCCAGAAGAGCAGCTTCATCTGGGTCTGGATCTTCACTGAAGGACCTTTGAAACACCTCAGCAATTGTCCTCTTCTGTGGGTCCTGTTATAATAGGAGAAGCACAACATAAAATTAACAAAGGCATCAAGAGCCAGGTTTGTATGAGGAGAATCTCCCTTGAATGCACACCTTGGACTGGAAGCTGGTCAATTCTGCACTCTCAGAGAGGCTGGATTCTGAAAGCCCTGCCTCTTTCAACACATTCATCTTCTCCTGGATCATTGGCCTGGAGTGTGTGCAGGGCAGTGAGTTGGACCACACAGACCCATCTCATCTGCTGAACACAGTGTAGAGGGTAAATCTTTACCAGAGATAGTCATCAGCTGTGCCTTTGGCCACCAGATAGTGAACATCCACGCTGCTGGTCTGTCCAATGCGATGGACTCGGTCCTCTGCCTGAATCAGTACCTGGGGAATAGTCAGCAGATTGGTGATGGTAGAGAAAAGCAACACACTGGCATGTGACACCAAGTGGAATAGGACTCACCCCCGGGTTCCAGAAGAGCTCCGCAAACAGCACCAGGCTAGCTGAGTGAAGCGTGATGCCCATGTTGGCTGCTGTGATAGACAGCACTGCCACACACTTTTTTTCAGAGAACTGGAATCTATGGCACAGTGCTTGGCGCTCAGCTGACGGTGTGGCTCCATCAATACGTATATAGCTGATATTCTGAAGGGGGTGAAATGGTCAGCTGGGAAGATGGCTGAAAGTAGAGCTCTTTTCCTGAACAAATACATATCCAGGAGATAATGAAGTGAACCTTAACAGCCACATTTAGGTAATTTTTATTAGGGAATAACAAAATCTCTGCATCCCTCACCTTCTCTCCTAGTTCTTTGGTGATGCTGTCCAGCATCAACTTGTGGTGGGCAAAGACCAGGAACTTCTCCCGGCCACATTCCAGCAGGTCCATCATGTACTCCCTGATAGAAAAGAGAACCCACTGACAGATGATTTTTAATGGCCACCAAAGCAAAGGTAAAAAGCAGACTGATAATTAATTCATCCATCTTCCAACCACTTATACTGAGAAGGGTCACAGGGAACCTTGAACCAATTACAGACAGCCCAACATAGGGCACTGAGTGCACCCTGTAAGGCAGTAGTCTCCAACATTTTTTAAAATGAAAATAATCTGGAGAACTACAGAGTCATGACAGTATATTTTGTAATCCGGGGGTCCTATGATAGATTTTGCTAATACATAGGGGGCTCTTGAGGGTGTTGCAATGGAGTACAAATATCTTGAAGATAGACCTGTCGATCTTAATTGACCGATTGGCCAGCACTGCTGTAAGGGATGACAGTCCCTCCATGAGTTCACCCTGGAAGGGATTCCAGTCCATCACACACAACCACATATTATGAGAAACTTAGAAAGACAGATTGCAAGAGGATACTGGACTACCTGAAGGAAACACAAAGAACTTTACACATACAACAATGGAATTTGAACCTCCAACCCTGGAGTTCGCTACCCACTGAGCTGCCATGTAACTGCTACTAAATCAGTCATTCTTAAATCCACAGCTGCAGGTTCTACTCCAGTCCATCAGGTAATCTGGAACAGAACTCACATGACAGCTTGAGTCTTAGCCTCCGCAGTGTGGCTGTAGTAAACGAGAAGAGCTTCTTTTTCCTGACGTTTCTGCAGACAAGAGAATACCATGTACACAGGGACCCTGATACAGCCTACAAACAGACACATCTTGTTAACCAATCATAGGTCAGGTCAAGTTAGGTAGGGGAGCATGTGAGGATGCAGTGTGTGGCCGCACCCACCACTAGGGTTGCAACGATTAGAAATTTTGGTGATACGATTATAGTCTGAGAAATAATCATGGTTTCACGATTATCATGGTTATTTTACGTGAACTGATTTCACAACTGTATTAACATATATAAATCACACAAACACATTCTATAAAGGTTTTGAACTTCAGAAGCTATTTATTGCTACTTTTCAGAGATACTGCATAGTTCGAAAAATGAATTTATAAAATAAAATAAGTCTGTGTAACCATCTGTAAGGCTGAAAAAATCTGTAAGCTGCACAGAAAGAGGTTATTGCTGCCTTCTGAATACACCACAGTCAAAAAAGTTAAAGTAAAACAATTGAAGTAATCTCTGGGCAAACAGATGATATTTAAAGCTGTATCTTAACACACTCATGGAACAGAGAATTTATATTTAAATTCAAGTAAACTTGCTCTGTAAACACATCCAGCTCCTTTGATGAACTACACATTTTTTATATTTTCAGTTTGTATATCTTTTTTTAGCAAGAGAAATTAACTCAGACCAACCTGATGACTTGAACATAAATTGCACTGTTTAACTTAAAAATGCAGTTAAAAATTCTGCTTTAAGATACTGCATAGTTAGAAAAATAGAATATGTAAATAAAATCAATCTCTGTACACATCTATAGGTAGCACAGCTCATTTGTTGCTGCTAAAATACTTAAATGCAGTGACAATAAAAGAAAAACAAGAAAATAATGTAAAACCTGTCTACAAAAGAGCTTTGCCAGTTCACAACATCAGTTCAAGTTGAAGTGCAAAAAAGTGAGCACATTCAAGTTTTCTGAGCTCAGCCCACAAAACCAGTGGGTCACTGTCTGTACACTAACTGTAGGGAAGGACAAGTAAAATTTCACCTTAATAAAATAAGATGCTACATTTCCTGATCTGCAAACAAACGTTTTATGGGAGCTACCATTTTACTTTTTTTCTTTCATAACCACTGCGCTATTGACTACCGAGAACAAGGACCTATGCAAACAGGCTGCATTTTAAATTCCTTTTGAGACTGCCAGAGAAGAAAGCATAATGCTTGTTATACACTCACCTAAAGGATTATTAGGAACACCTGTTCAATTTCTCATTAATACAATTATCTAATCAACCAATCACATGGCAGTTGCTTCAATGCATTTAGGGGTGTGGTCCTGGTCAAAACAATCTCCTGAACTCCAAACTGAATGTCAGAATGGGAAAGAAAGGTGATTTAAGCAATTTTGAGCGTGGCATGGTTGTTGGTGCCAGACAGGCCGGACTGAGTATTTCACAATCTGCTCAGTTACTGGGATTTTCACGCACAACCATTTCTAGCATTTACAAAGAATGGTGTGCAAAGGGAAAAACATCCAGTATGCGGCAGTCCTGTGGGCGAAAATGCCTTGTTGATGCTAGAGGTCAGAGGAGAATGGGCCGACTGATTCAAGCTGATAGAAGAGCAACTTTGACTGAAATAACCACTCGTTACAACCGAGGTATGCAGCAAAGCATTTGTGAAGCCACAACACGCACAACCTTGAGGCGGATGGGCTACAACAGCAGAAGACCCCACCAGGTACCACTCATCTCCACTACAAATAGGAAAAAGAGGCTACAATTTGCACGAGCTCACCAAAATTGGACAGTTGAAGACTGGAAAAATGTTGCCTGGTCTGATGAGTCTCGATTTCTGTTGAGACATTCAAATGGTAGATTCAGAATTTGGCGTAAACAGAATGAGAACATGGATCCATCATGCCTTGTTACCACTGTGCAGGCGGGCGGTGGTGGTGTAATGGTGTGGGGGATGTTTTCTTGGCACACTTTAGGCCCCTTAGTGCCAATTGGGCATCGTTTAAATGCCACGGCCTACCTGAGCATTGTTTCTGACCATGTCCATCCGTTTATGACCACCATGTACCCATCCTCTGATGGCTACTTCCAGCAGGATAATGCAACATGTCACAAAGCTCGAATCATTTCAAATTGGTTTCTTGAACATGACAATGAGTTCACTGTACTAAAATGGCCCCCACAGTCACCAGATCTCAACCGAAATAGAGCATCTTTGGGATGTGGTGGAACGGGAGCTTTGTGCCCTAGATGTGCATCCCACAAATCTCCATCAACTGCAAGATGCTATCCTATCAATATGGGCCAACATTTCTAAAGAATGCTTTCAGCACCTTGTTGAATCAATGCCACGTAGAATTAAGGCAGTTCTGAAGGCGAAAGGGGGTCAAACACCGTATTAGTATGGTGTTCCTAATAATCCTTTAGGTGAGTGTAGACAAATAGGAAGCGAACCTCAATCAGTAGCCTACAACACTACACGGCTAAATGAACCCTCATTCACCGGATGGTTCTATTACTTTGAAATCACTTCAGTTACTAACGTAATTTGACTCAATTGTTTTGTATTAGCCTATCTTCAATTGCACGTATATGTCCGCATGATGATCTTGGAGATGCTGCAACAAGTTGGAGGTGTTGGATCCTTTGGCCGCAACTTTTTTTTCTGCAAGCTCTGCAAATGGGTGACCCATCGTCCTGGATTTCTCCTTTAGCATCTTTTGGGTATCCAAAATATTCCCATACAGGAGACTTCAAACGCTTCCTAGGTGGATATAGAGTAGTCCCGTTGTTGGTTGTCTCTCGTTCTTCTGTCATGATCCGCTTGGGGTATTTTGTGTGTGCTTCGCTTTGTATAGTTTTCGTCCGTGTGGGTCGCGTTATTATATGTCTTTGGTTCTGGTGGATTTTTATTTTTTATTTTTTTTGGCGGTATTGGGGAAGTCTTAACGGTGGATTAACCGCAATGTTTCACACCGTGGTTAATAGTCAAAACGGTTAATCCCTGTAACCATACCCACCACACGGCAAAACTCCTCAGGATCCCAGCTGGCGATCCCCCAGGCAGACATACAGTCCAGTCCCACCCTCCAAAGGCCATCCATCTACCGCTGCCAGGTGTTACATAGGCGTTCCCTTGGCCTGGTCCAGCCACTTGGGTCCTCAGCAGTGAGGATCCTGCAACTCAGATCACCCTCAAGAAAACACGCCACATGGCCATAGTGCAGTAACTGACACTCCCTCACAATGCAGGTAACGTGCCTCATTCGGGACTCCTCTAGCAACCGAACATTCGACATAAAACTTAAATCAGCCGTACCCAAGGATTCTCCGAAGAGACACTACTGAAATCATCTCAGCTCACTGGGTAGCGTCCATGTCTCACAGCCATACAGCAAGACAGGGAGCACCAGGACCAGACTTGGACCATCGTCCTCCTGCAAAGATGTCGGGAGCGCAGCACACCCATTTCCAGCGACCTCATGACCCCCCATTCTATTCCAATCCATCTGCTGACTTCATAGGAAGCGTCACCAGAGATATGAATGTTGCTGCCGAGGTAGGTAAATCTCAACAAGATCAACATTCTCCCTGCAGACAGACACACATTATTAATGGCTGTACCTAAGAAGTCATTAAATGCCCAGATCTTTGTCTTTATCCAGGAAACCCGCAATCCCAGACACTGACTCCTCGCTCAGTCTCTTAAGAGCCTCGATCAGAGCCTCCATTGACTCTGCTCACCGCATTGTCGGCAAAGTCCAGATCAGTAAATCTTTGTTCACGAACGGACACCCTACAGCTACTGAACCCCATGACCCTGCCCAATACCCAGTCCATACAAGAACTGAACAGAGAAGGAGCAAGGACACACCCCTGGCAAACCCCAGAATCAACTGCGAAGAACACAGATGTTCTCCCTTCTCTCTGCACAGCACTCATAGTACCAGTGTACAGGCTGGCCATGACATCCAGCAACTTCGGGTGGATGCCGCAAAGTCTCAGGATGTCCCACAGGGCAACTCGATCAACAGAGTCCAACGTTTTACGAAAATCGACAAAGGCTGCAAAGAACCTCTGCTGATATTCGTGCTTGCGCTTCATATTTGCACTTGCGAACCCTCAGTGCAAGGATACGGTTGATGGTAGCCTTCTTAGGTGTAACACCAGACTGCTCCAGTCGCTGACAGGTGTAGGATCACACATGCACATATCACAGGGCCTAAATTCCAGGTGGCCTGAGACAAGGCCGAGCCTGG